CGTGTTGAGTGTGCGCTTTCTTTATTTCTAGGTGAGTTTTTCAGGTTAATTGTGGGAGCTAGAAGCTAAAAAGAGGAGAAAGAAGGAGTCAGTGTATACGGCTGTGAATTAGCATCGGTCCAGTCGATTTTAGCACTGTAGCGCGATCTAATCAGTCGCGCACACAGTCGTACGCTTGCGCGCCAATCGTACGCTCGAGCCATCGACGCAGTCGTATGCTAGCGCAATCGATCGCTCGAACGCGCGACCGAAGAGCTGCCCCCAGGCGAAGTCTGAACGCAGCCTTATAAATGTCCTTCTGGGGACGGGAGAGGGACTGCATGGTCCCAGGTGTGATCCTACCTGATCTCATACACAAGTTGTGGGGATGAGTACACCGGTGAGACTGGACGACCCCTATGCTCTAGGGTAGAGCAACACTTAAGGGGTCTAGAGCGATCTAAGCTAGAGACCCTTCCCCCCTGGGTGGTCATCGCGTACACTGCCAGGTGCGGAGTATGAAGTGGCCGTGAAGATTTTGAAGCGAGAAAACAAAACTTCTGCATGCAAAATCTCTAAGGTCTTTCGGATATGCGCTAAAGTCCCAAAATGAACAGAAAGGACGAATGTCCTGGCCATCACAAACGAGCTCGCCCCGTTTGCTGACCTGTGTGGGCTTCAATCGCCATCGCCCTCATGTCGAAGGGAGGGATAGATCAGCTGAAGCCACCCACGGGGAGTCAGTTTAGCGGTGGTCTCAAGCAAAACCTGCCGTACATTCAAGGTGAGTCGTGTTGTGGTTGTGACCTATGACAGGTTTCTGGACCCTTCTGGTCTGGGACAAACTTATCTGAGGTTTGAGTGAGTTTAGGAATAACGAACTGCTTCTCAATTGGAATGGCCTTCAACGGTAGGTCGCGCTTATCTCGGATGTTCCAGGTTCTGACGAGGCGACCATGCCGAAGTGTAGCGCTTGGGTAAGGCTGCACTGAAACTCACTATTGGTTCCAACATTCCTACAAGAGATGCGGCTTTCTACCCTACCAATTTTCCTGTGAAGACGGGAAAGTATATTCAATTAACGCAGGGGCGATCCCCTGCTTCAGGGTTGTGAGTAACTTCGGGAAATCACAGATGAATGTCCTCAATGGACCAAGCTTGATTACCATCATTAGCGTCAAGCACAGTGCTTGGCTATCGCCACGCCCTAAGTAAGAGGGCCTACCTTGCACGGGAAACTAGGGAATCTCGTCCACTGAACCTCCGCTCCAGCCAAAGGCAGAGTCCTCGTTCATTTGATATTCGCACGCTTCCTTTGGATATAGGAGCCCTCTCTAGCAGAACGGAGGATGTACGGTGGAGTTCTCTTCGCACCAAGAGGTAGTCGTACGTCCACGCTGGCGAGCGGGTCCGACGGCTGCGTGTCGGTGGGAAGCCGGAAGCCTGGGGCGACTATCATCATTGCCTCTGTGCTCTCTGGCACTAAGTCTGCGCTATCTACCCGCTCTTCCGTCTGGACTCTCGCCGGTCGTTAATTGCTAACGCGCCCAGTCAGCTAATTTCTGCAATATTTCTGCTGTTTTCAGCTTATAAAGCCGAAATTGTTCTTTGTTCAGCCTATTTAGAAAAAAGTGGGTGTACTTAATAAAGTAAGATGAGATGATTTTCTCTTGAAAGTTGGTTTGCTTTCATTACATTTGCTTTTTTTCGAATAAAACCGGACAAGGAATAATTCCTTTTTTCCCAGGAGCTGAAAACAGCATAAATTAGCTGGCATAGCGTATTAGCCACAATCGATCGCCGCGCCATCCGATCGCTTGTCAACGTGGACGCGGGAACGCCCCTTCGTACAAAGAGATGGTGCAGTTGTTAAGTTTCTAATTCTCTCCACTTTAAATGGTGAGGTGAGGTGATAAGGAGAAAAAGCTGGCACGAACAAGTGAGAACTCATCCGATCACATCCTTTCTTCGCCTTATGCACTTGAAACCTCAGTTCGGCATGGCATGGGGCATGATTTTCTCTGCTTTCTTTCTTCCCTTCTGCACCACTTTCTACTTTCGTTATGACTATCTGAGTCGCACAGCTCATCATTTCTGAGAGCAAGATCTGCCTTTGAATTCCGGTGAAAGTGAAATAATGAATTAGGAAAATATGTGTGCACTCTCGTTCGCTGCGGATAAAGGGGCGGGTCAGTGAGACTGGGTTTGGCGCACCGCCACGCTGTTCTTCATCAGTTGTTAGCGAGCTTAGGCTACAATAATCCTGGGAAACGACTGATACGAACGATATGATATAATCTTATCGCTTGCCAAAAAAAAGAAATGGAATGGGCTGGCACCGCACCTAATCCATTCTCGCTGACACGCCCTATCATATCCAACGAAGAAGACTGTAAACGAGGTCTCGTAGACCATGTTCACAGACTTGGTGTTGCTATTCCCAGCCTTTCGAAGAAAATGGCACTCGCTTACCAACCTTCTTCAAAAACCTTTTTTATATTGGTCTCCATTTTGTCGACTGACTCGTCCCAGAGTCTATAGCTGTTCTCTTCGAGAATGTTGCGGTGAATCTCCTTCGCCAAATGAGTAGCGAGCAGTCGTTTACCGCTCCCACTTGGTCCACTTAGAAGCAACACTAGCGGTTTATCATCAACCTAAAAACCTATTTTCTCACATTAACCAAGCTATTTTTGGAGAGCAAGATAAGAGTTTTTCAGGTTCATAACAAAGGAAATCGAGCAAGTAGAATCACAAAAATCTCGAGGAAACTTACATGCTCGTAGGCAAGGCAAATACTCCGCATTCGATCTAGCAGATTCGCCATTGGTGCAGGAAGTTCGAACATCTTCTCAAGTCCCGAATACGGCACGTGTTCGCTCACGCTTGTGATCTCATAAACAGATGTCCTTGTGTCCACAATACACGGTGAATCATTGCAGAACACCTGCATAGCAGTTCATCAAGCAAATAGCGACTAGGTAACCTTAGCTTTGAAAAGCTTCCAAAAAAGATTGTATGGGAGACACGGTACACCATCGCTGTGTAATAAACTATTCGGTCGCTGGAGAAGGAGCTCAGGCGCTGATAACCTTGGAGGGGACACTGGTAAGATTCTTTGTGGAGAACTATACTTGGTGAGGTGAGATGGGAACTTTTCATAAACCTAAAGGAAGGAAGAACTCCGGAGAGGACAAACCGTTTTGAAGTGAGCTTATTCCATTAAGATGGCATTAGTCTCAGTTTTGCACAAGGAAACCTCCAAAGGCGATGGGTACGATATCTTGATTCCCTGCAAAGAACGGAAGCAGGGCACGAGTTCGTAAACGCAAAAACAGGACGAGACGACCGGAAGCGCGCGAAATAGGACCCCCTGAACCCGCTCCAGCCAAGAAGTGTTCGAGCTTACGCCTGAGATAAATCGCCAAAGATCAATGTGAAAAAAATCACGGTGACTGCACAGGAAACATGAAAACGCATTGTTTTGAGCGGTAGCAAACTTCACAAAGCAATGTCAACAGGGGTCCTGAACGGAAACAGGGACATACTAATGACATCTACACAAAGCGGCTGTCGAAGGTTCGCGGGAATCATGTGGAAAAAAAGCCAAAAAGTAAATGAAGCCTGAAACTCCAAGACGGGCACTACTTTGCAAGAAAAGTGCGCACCTTCAATGGAAATGTTTTCGTTACCAATGAGAACATACATCTTCAGAGGAAACCCCGAGGAATGGGAAAAAGTGCCTCGCTTGCAGGTTACGGGTGAAAGCAGCTGGTCCATTCGTGAAGTTGCTGATCGATGTAGCCATTTGTGGGCGTGTCGGTGTCTGTGGGAGTATGGGTGGGCATGCTGAGCCTTGCTGAGACGCTTACAGATCACTTCTCGTAAAAAGAGACGCCATGAGAGGCTTGCTCAGGGGCACGATATTCTTCGCTAATCGACGTATTTATTTTACACGACTAGGAGATTTGTAGTGCCCTTTGTCATGAAGTGCCCTCCAAGGGGGTTGCCTTATTTGGTTTCCATGAAGTGCCTCCAAGGTTCATAGTGTGCCTTGCGTATAAGGTGACGAGCTATTCGCCTTTCCTAGACGGCGACACGGTAGTTTGGCAATTTCATTTTTTTTTCTGAAATTTGATCGCGATTGTCTACTTCCTTTTCCCCTGCCGTATTTGATGATGGCGCGTTATGGCGCTTATGCTGAGGCTGTCCAGCTGCCAAGGTGCCTTAGTGAAAGATCCCATTGGCATGCTATGTGGGAGTATACCAGTCAAATTAAAGAATTTAAGGCGCAAGAATTGAAGTATTCTCCCTAATAAGGCGGAATACCGAGCAGCTTTACTGAATGTGCTTACCTTGAAGTAGTGAGGAGACACCTTCTCTGTGAAAGACATTTCGAACACGTATGGATATTACATCTTCTTTGTACATAATCCTGCAAAGAGGATGAATTCATCGACAGTTCTAGGTGTCTTCAATTAGCACATTAATATCAGGTACATGGAGACGTTTAAAGAAATGAGAAAACAGAGGGGCTGCGGCCATGGGCTTTTGTACCACTTGTAGGCCTGTACATTTAGCGACGTAAAATTCGGTCAATCTAGCCACAGAAAAAAAAATGACGGAAACTGTAAGTAAAACCTGGGTTGTGAGTTATCGAAATCGGGTCATGCAATGGAAGGTGCGCTGCTCAAATTGCTGTGCTGTACCAGCGATTGCGTGGAATGATTTTCTCGAAAAGCAATGCGGAAGATTTGGTTCAGAAGCTCAAAGAAGGAGCAACATAAGAAAGAAAAAAAGCTGTGGCTGAAAAGGGTCCCATAATGTTTATCCTGCATAAGAATAATGGGTGGAGGGAGTCCTGTTTTGGCAAGCCCTCTGACTAGCAGAAATACCGTTGTCGAGCCTTGCCCTGTTAGCTGACATTTCTGCTGAGACCGCGTTGGACGAGTGACCGCTCGAAAATTCGGGATAGTGAATCACAGGGCTGTGTTTTCGGGTCCTTTCATTTTCTTTGCACTAAGCATGACGCCAGGCGACTCCTTGCGTGCCAGCAGCAATGCTCCTTACCTCTCAGAAGTCGATCGCGACGTGAAAACCGGGCCCTTGTATAAACGCCGAACCATATGGGTGGTCCTGTAACCCGAGGCGGAGCCACCAAGCGTCAACCTCGAATGAATGCAGATGGAAAGCTGCTCGATTCCAGTCAGTACGTAAGGTGAGAACAAAAAATGATGATAATTATGGCTATAGCTTACTGCATTGGGGCTTACAAACAGTTCTCTTCACAGAACAAAACCGTTACTGCCAATGTGTATTGCTGGCTCCTCGACAACCACATCGACAAATGGACAGCTGCAAGAAGGCCACCAGTGCTAATCAAATGCAGACCCCAAATAATCGTATTGGGTACTGCTTCGACAGGAACAATACTGAGGCCTGGATCCAGTCGCCTGGTTCGCCTGACCTATGGCATTGCGATCTCAGCTGTTCCGGTCAACTGAAGGCACTGTCCATTGCCTTACGCTATGCCGATCGGACGTCAACAACAGTTTATTAACACTTGTTGAAAAAACGAAGGTGCTTGGGGTCCAGTCGCTCCGTGGACACTGGGAGTGGGTCATAAAGCGGAATCTACTCAACTTGAGACTGGCCATAAGATAGTACTTCTTTGAGTGCTGTTTTTCTCCATTAGTTCGAATGAAACCTTGCACTTTTTTGGATGAGATGACCTGGTAGTAATACTATCCTACGATCTAGGGGCAATCGGGTTTCGATTCACTCCCATCCAGACACGGCAAAAGTGAAGACGAAACAGATTCTCGTCTAGGCCCCTCTCCATCTCAAGAAGCTTGCTGTCAAAAGGTGAACTCATCCGTGAGGATAAAAACTTTGAACTGACACCGGCTAGCACATAGTCATTTCGTAAGGTATGTGGCCCTTTTGTAAAGATTTCACATCAACCTGTACTCAGGAAAACGTCCCCTGAAACATCCTTGTCAAGCACACATTCAACGATTCTCTGATGAACTGGAATCTTCCATGTATACGATCTGCTGGTCTCACATGGAGTATACCACTTCGCCACCTGATTTTGAAGAGTAAGAACGTCAGCGTTTGGGACACGAGTCTGATCCGCTTCTTCTGAGCTTAGCGCCTCCTGGTTTGCCTTCCCGGCATGCCTTCCCCGCACAAAACTTGGCGAAAAAAAAGCGAGCTCTATTCGAGGCGTGTCTCCGTTCCAAGACACTTTCACAAATGGCAAATCGTGGATAATGGGG